TTGCTAACCCTTGAGACTTATTTTCACACGTATGTCACGTGTATACGTATATCAACACTGTGTCTGTCTCATATGATGGACCTGGTTCATGACTAAGTTCATTTTGTCAATCTACAAAACTTCATCTGAACTTGGGCCAACAGTTTTAACATGCTGACTTAAATAGAAGGAAAGCATAACAAGTAGTTCGAACATAGTAAAATCATAAAGCAACATCAAGAATCAGAGAAGAGATTTTTTGAAAAACTTTAAAGGAAACCCTAATGAAGAGTCGTTTTAAAAGAAAAGTTGAAGAACTTTCGAGAAAACACTTAAGACATTCATAGTAAGCATGGATCTATGGTAGATCTGAAAGAAAAATCAAAAGATCTTAAAGATTAGGGTTTCGAAAAACCAGAAAAGGTGAGAAAGGCCTTGAAAGTTTCCGATATAACCAGGAAAGTCAAGGATCTGCCTTGAAAGGCCATGAATGGTCGGAGAAAGGTCATGGATGGCCGGAGAAAAGCCATGAACAGAAATCGAACAAGGACTGGGCCAGGTTCCCTCGAGGTCTAGCCATGAAACCATAGAAACCAGCACCCAGGAGCCATAAGAGGCTGATACATATCTCAAATGGCCATGAGAGGCCATGGATTAGGTAGGGGTTGAGGTGGATTAGGATGGGGTTAGATGGCGGCGGCTAGAGTTCTTGAGAGTTTCAAATAGAGTTGAGAGAGAAGAGGGATTTAAGGGCGGCGATAGGTGAAAAATGAGGTGGGTTTAGGGGTCGTTTAGGGTTAAAAAAGGAAAGGACTAATATTGGCCGTTGATCTAAATGACCAACGACCAGGATTGAAAGGGTTACGTAGGGGATCCGGGTTGGGTCATTTGATTGGGTTAGGGGTCGAGTTTGAATGGGAATTGGGCCGGGGAAATTGGATTCAAATTGGGGTCTGATTTAGGCTATAATTGAAATGTAATTGGGTTATTATTTAAATAGCCAATTTTCCCCTTTTAAAATTATAAAAAATAGTAAATTAATTTTTGAAAATAAATTGAAAGCACTAGGATGATTTATAACGTATAATTAACAATTTAAAGATACAGGACTTAATTTTGTGAATATAAAACATAATTAAATCTAAAAGGGGCTAATATTGCACTTATATGCAATTTAGCTAAAAAAATACTAAATAAATTTGTAAAAATATGCAAAAATTACCTTAGCTATATCTTAGCATAAATATAAAAGTCCAACAAATGAATTTCCAAAATAATAATTTTGGAAATAATCATTGGGTTTTTTTATGGATAAAAGATGGAAATAAATTGATTTGAAAACCTTTAAAAATTATGAAAAAATAATAAAACATTTGGATATGCTTATATATGCATATATATGTCATTTTGAAGTTATTTTGCATATTAAAAATATATAGGAAAAAATTGGGTATCAACAGCTGCCCCTCTTTACCCGGGAAGGATGAAAGAGTTGTCGGGTAAAGATATGATGGCCAATTTTGACCGAACGAAACGGTTTGAAGAAGATAGGTCGTGCCCTGGCTTCTGAGCTGCCTACATATCCCTGGTTTTACAGGAATTAGGCCATATGTAGTTCAGGATCCGTCGGCGGAGTATGCCGATGGCGACTTTCCAAGAACGGACGCAATATCCAGGACAGGGTGAGTGGGCGGCCTGTGAGAATGGTTAAGGTTTGATATGGCTGCGGGAACTGGAGTGGGCTTGCTCCTGCCGGGACGGTTGTTTCTTGCCGGTTTACCTATAAATAAGTAAAACAAGCATATATTGTGCGTAAATTTAGACATGATGCAAATTCCCGTTGGACCATGAATGCTGTCTTTGAACGGTTAGGATGACGTCTTTAGACCATGATGTCCTGGGTCATGAAGCGTATAATAAAGGATTCGCAGGCCATGAGATGATGCTCTTGGGCTATGAGGACGGTGCCTCCGAACCATGACGTCTTTGAATAATGATATGCAAAAAGATTGAAAGGGGTCCTCAGGACATGACATGGTGTTCTCGGGCTATGAGGATGGTGCCTCCGAACGATGACGCCTTTGGATAAGTTAGCGATATTTCATCCCATGAAGGATACAGTATCATGTGGCGATCTTTCAGCCGTGCAATGTGGCGATCTTTTAGGCGTGCCATGTGGCGATCTTTCAGTCGTGTAATGTGGCAATCTTTCAGCCGTGCAATGTGGCGATCTTTCAACTGTGCAATGTGGCGATCTTTCAGCCGTGCAATGTGGCGATCTTCCAGCCGTGCAATGTGGCAATCTTTCAGCCGTGCAATGTGGCGATTTTCCAGCCGTGCAATGTGGCGATCTTTCAGTCGTGCAATGTGGCGATCTTTCAGCCGTGTAACGTGGCGATCTTTCGGTCGTGCAATGTGGCGATCTTTCGGCCGTGCAATGTGGCGATCTTTCATCCATGCAATGTGGGTGGAGACAACGTTCAATCTCGGAAGGCAGAATGGTAGCCTTATGCAATGCAGATACAGATAGAGGTAGAGCTTAACCTCGGAAGGCAGAATAGTAGCCTTATGCAAGTTGGAAGGCAGAATGATAGCCTTATGCTAGTTGGAAGGCAGAATGGTAGCCTTATGCAATGCAGATGCAGATAGAGGTAGAGCTTAACCTCGGAAGGCAGAATAGTAGCCTTATGCAAGTTGGAAGGCAGAATGATAGCCTTATGCAAATTGGAAGGCAGAATAGTAGCCTTATGCAAGAAAATAAAATAGCAAATGGTAGTAGAATTCTTAGCTAATAGCAGATTGCGGCGTGGTGATTACTGGGAGCATTGTGGCATACGGGCATCACTGGTGTGCAGATAGCAAATGTTGGTAAGTGCAATGGTTCAGAGAATCGTGTTCTTGAACAATGTTTGTTCTGTGGGCGTACAGTATGTTTAATGATTTCATAATCCTAGTGCCTGCATCTAAAGAAAAATCGTGAGTTTTGTAGAGGGGAAGGTTAGTTCGTATCCCCTGCTGGCTTTGCTTGACTCTTCCTGCTTTGGTTTGGTGATACTGTTTGTATCATTGGGGTAGCGTTGCTAGACAAAGCAATTTCGATAATAAACGTATGCTTTTGTAAAAGTATAACAAAATGTAAAATTAAAATATTTTTTTAGATGAACAGACGACCGTGACGCAATTCAGGACATTGCAACCTCTCTTGCTATAGAATTTTGAGGGTCCTCCTCAAAATTCTGCCCCAGTTTGATGGGTTGACGATTCTGGCTGCTGCTCGTGTGGCGATCGGCTGAAATTACTTCGGAATTTTGAGGGTCCTCCTCAAAATTCTGCCCCAGTTTCCCATTGCGGGGGAAAATAAAACTTTATTGAATTGTGACCGAACCCATAGGGCTGTCTACGTATCCCCTATTAAATGGGAATCAGGTCAGGCATAGTTCATTTTACATCATATAGAGAAAACATAAAGATTACACATAGTAACACTTGACTGCATCTTAATTGATCAGTTTTGGCCAGACTTCTCCGTCCATTTCTGCAAGTATGAGGGCTCCTCCTGTCAAAACCCGGTGAACCATGTATGGGCCCTGCCGGTTGGGAGTTAACTTCCCTTTGGCTTCATCTTGATGCGGAAAAAATTTTCTTTAACACTAGTTGTCCCGGTGTGAATTGTCTTAGCTTGACTCTTTTGTTGAAGGCTCTAGCCATTCTGTTTTGATAGAGTTGACCGTGGCAAACTGCGTTCATTCTCTTTCCGTCTATAAGAGCTAGTTGCTCATAACGACTCTTCACCCACTCTGCGTCGTTGAGCTCGGCTTCCTGTGTTATCCTTAGGGAAGGAATTTCTACTTCAGCGGGAATGACGGCCTCTGTACCATAAACCAGCATGTAGAGAGTTGCCCCGGTTGATGTGCGGACTATGGTGCGATATCCCAATAGAGCGAATGATAACTTCTCGTGCCACTGTTTATGCTTTTCTATCATTTTCCTTAATATCTTCTTGATATTCTTGTTGGCGGCTTCCACGTCTCCATTCATTTGAGGTCTGTAGGCTGTGAAATTCTTGTGTGTGATCTTGAAGGTTTCACACATGGCTTTCATCAAGTCGCTGTTGAGATTGGAACCATTATCAGTAATGATTGATTCTGGAATACCGAATCGACAAACAATGTGGTCTCGGACAAAGTTTGCCACAACTTTCTTAGTTACTGCCTTGTAGGATGCTTCTTCGACCCTCTTGGTGAAATAATCGATCGCTACTAGGATAAACCTGTGTCCGTGGAAGTGGCAGGCTCAATTGGTCCAATAACGTCCATTCCCCAAGCGACGAACAGCCACGGTGAGCTTGTTGTGTTGAGCTCACTTGGAGGTACCTTTATCATGTCTGCATGTATCTGGAAGCGATGGCATTTCTGGACATACTGGATGCAATCTGTTTCCATAGTCATCCAAAAGTAACCAGCCCGGAGTATCTTCTTTGCTAAGACAAAATCGTTCATATNAAAAACACAGATCTTGATTTCAGAAACTATTGACAATGGAGATACAATGGAGGCAGCGTGTAATGTCGATACACCCAAAGACCAGACCCTAATGATAAAACCTAGCTGAGGGTGGACATTTACTTGCTAGCCCTTATGTTTCATCTGTTATCTAGAATATTCTCAGGGTATTTATATACTTTCACCTTCTATAGTAAGTAGACAGTTTTAGTCGGTGATGTATAGATATTGTATATAAGGACAATGTACAGCTCTAAAGAGGGCATGAATAAGAAAATAGAAAATTTCCAAAATACAGTTTTCATTTTCTTTTTCTGTTTTAACATGGTATCAGAGCAAAGTTGCTCGATCCCTACTGTTTCTTCTAGATTGTTCTAGAATTTTTACAGATCTTTGTGATTTCTGTTTCGATCTCAATTCAAATTCAATTTCGATCCTTTGATATTGATTTCTGATCTCAATTCTTCTTCAATTTGAGTTTCTCATACTGTTTGATCTCGATTATTGATGTGGACAACAATGGCGGAAGAGAACCCATTTGCACAAAATCAAGTCGTCGCTGACACTTATCATCCCTTGTACCTAAGTCCTTCAAACAATCCTGGAATAAACCTGGTGTTTACTCTGTTTGATGGGACTGGATATGCAGATTGGCGAAAGTCCATGCTAATTTCATTATCGGCTAAGAACAAGCTGGGACTAATCAACGGAAGATTTTCTAAACCTAGAAATGATTCTCCTTATTTTGAGCTTTGGATACGATGTAATGATATGGCGATGGCCTGGTTGTTGAATTCTTTAACAAAAGGAATCAGATCCAGTGTTCTGCACTCTAATTCAGCCAGGGATCTTTGGAAACATCTTGAGGACAGGTATGGCCAATCTGATGTAGCTCAGTTGTTTAGCCTGCAAAGGAAATTATTAGAAACTACAAAAGGTTCTAATGACATAGCAACATATTTTAACAATATGAAAGCAATATGGGATGAATTAAATGCACTGGATGCAAGAGTTCCTTGCACTTGTGTTGAATGCACATGTGAAGCAAAGCATAAGAATAAAGCAATTGAGGAGAGACAAAAGTTAGTTCAGTTTCTTATGGGCTTGAATGAGACTTATACTACTTGTAGAGGGAATATATGATGATGATCCCTGTACCAACCATTGACAAGGCCTACTCTCTTCTTCTTCAAGAAGAAAGGCAGAGATCTATACAACCTGCAATGATATCACCTATGGATTCCAGTTCTTTTAATGTTTCTACACAGAAGTCTGGACAATATACTGGACAAGGAAGAATGAACTTCAATGTGACTGCTGGAGGAGGGAATAAGTATAATCTAGCAAAGGGAAATGACAAAAGGAATATGTTCTGCTCTTACTGCCAAAGACCTAGGCACACAATAGAAAGATGTTTCAAAATTCATGGTTATCCAACAGGTTTTAAGACAAATATGCAAGGAAATAAGCCAAGAAAATTTCAAAGCTCAAATTTTATACAAGGAAATGCAGTGTCCACAGAAGAAGATGTTATTGATATGCAGGAAAACTCAAACCAAGGAACTCAATATAACAGTGTCTCACCAAGTGTTGTGAGAATAAGTCAGGATCAATATTCTCAGCTTATGGAACTCTTACAACAGGTCAAAATTGGTCAACAAGCTGCTTCAACTTTTGAAGTCAATGTAACTGCTAATTGTGCTGGTATAGCTCCTATTTTACCCTCTTTACTCCTTGATAAGTCTTTCATCCACTCATGGATCCTTGACTCAGGTGTTTCTGAGCATATGACCTTTGATAAGTCCATTCTGTTTGACATCATAGCCCTCACTCAACCTTTAATTGTTAACCTACCAAATTCTTTCAAAATCAAAGTCACTCATGCTGGAAGGGTATCTCTATTCCCAAACATGATTTTAAACAGAGTCCTATATGTCCCTTCTTTTAAATTCAACTTATTATCTGTTCACAAGTTTTGCTACCAATTTGGTTGTGATCTAATTTTCAGTGCTTTTCTCTGCTCTATGCAGGGCCTTCCCTCGAAGAGGCCTTTGGATCTTGGTAGACTCAGTAATGGACTCTACATCTTACGAACAAAACACTACCCTTCTGGATATTCAGCCAAAGCAGACAATACTAATTCCCTATCTGCTGCAGATATTAGTGTTAACTCTTCAATTCATTCTATGTCTAATTCTGTTGATTAGTGTCAGGATATGTGGCACATTAGATTAGGACATATGCCCATAACTAGCATGAAAAATATTACTACTTTACCCCATTTCTCTATCAATAAAGCCACAACTCCTTGTACTATTTGCCCTCTAACTAGGCAACATAAGCTGCCTTTTCCTAATAGTCACATTTCTTCTACCAAAATATTTGAGCTTATTCATATTGATACATGGGGCCCATATAAATCAGCCACCCATGATGGTTTCAAATATTTCCTCACAATTGTGGATAATTTTAGTAGGGGAACATGGACATATCTTTTAAGCACAAAAGGAAATGCTTTTACCATACTCAAGTCCTTCATCTCTATGGTGGAAACACAGTTCAACACCAAGATCAAAAGGGTTAGGTCTGATAATGCCTTAGAGCTTGGGTCTAGCATTAGTTCAACTGCCTATTTTCTTTCTAAAGGAATTATTCATCAAACAAGTTGTGTTGCTACACCTCAACAAAATGGTGTAGCCGAGCGCAAACATAGACATCTGTTAGAGGTGTGTAGAGCCTATTGCCTATTGGGGAGAGTGTTTACTTACAGCCACATTTCTAATCAATAGATACCCCTCTAAACTACTAAACTATAAAACACCTTTTGAGCTTCTCTTTCACAAACCCCTGATTACTCATTTCTTAAGTGTTTTGGATGTCTTTGTTTTGCCTCTACTTTACCACATCAAAGAAGTAAACTGGACCCAAGGGCCACAGCTTGTGTGTTTCTTGGGTACCCCTTTGGCAAGAAAGGATATAAGCTTTTGGACCTGTCTTCTAAGCATATTTTTGTTTATAGGGATGTAATATTTCATGAATCTATCTATCCCTTTGCTCTAATTTCTCCTACTGCCAACCCTTTATTTCCTTCCATGTCTTCTCCAACTGATTCACATGACACTATCCCTATCACTATTCCTGCAATGCCTGCTGATCCTCCTATGCCTACTGATCCTCCTATGCCTATTGAACCTAATGTTTCACCTGAAGCTACTACACCAATGTCTTCTTCTCCCCAGATTCCTAATTCATCAGACTCTTCCCCTGAACCTGTTTCTATATCTAGCAGTGAACTTAGCATACCACCCTCTACTTTGAACCTGGATACTGCCCTTCGCATGTCTCTTAGGGAACACAAAACACCTTCCTATCTGGCTGACTACATTTGTGGAGCTGTTCACCTGACTGATGTATCTACTCCTTGTTTCCTTACCCCTGTGATACCTAATTACTATTCCTTCACTACCCTTTCACCCTCTAACCAAACTCGTCTTAATTCTTTCCCTCACATTCAAGAACCTAACTCCTTTTCTCAGGCACATGCACCCAGGTTGGCAGGAAGCAATGACTAAAGAAACTGATGCTTTATTGGCTAATGAGACTTGGGATGTTGTACCTCTTCCTCCGGGGAAGAAAGCACTTCCTTGTAAATGGGTCTATAAGGTAAAAATCAAGTCTGATGGGTCTGTGGATAGACTAAAGGCTCGCCTCGTTATTTGTGGTGATACTCAAAGAGAGGGGATCGATTTTACTGGGACCTTCTCACCTGTGGTCAAGATGACCACCATACGGTGCATTCTAGCTATTGCCGTAAAGAAGGGATGGGGGTTGTACCAATTGGATGTTAATAACGCCTTTTTTACATGGCGATTTTTTTGAAGAAGTTTATATGAAATTCCCTGCTGGCCTTTCCCCTCCTTCTCCCAATATGGTATGTCGTCTTAAAAAATCACTCTATGGTCTACGACAGGCGTCTAGGCAGTGGTATGCCCGTTTAACTGCTGCTTTAATTTTAAGGGTTTTCTCACTCACTCAACGACTACTCTTTATTCTATAAGAAGACTGGTGATTCTATTTCTTTGGTGGCTGTCTATGTGGATGACATCTTACTTACTGGGAATAATTTTCAGGATTACAGGACCTCAAACTTTTCTTAGACTCAGAATTCAAGATTAAAGATCTGGGAAACTTATCTTTTTTCTTGGGGATGGAGGTTCTGCATGAGCCATCAGGTTTAATTCAACCAACGCAAATTTGTGCTTGAACTCTTGGATGAATTCCACTGCTTTGATCTCTCTCCAGTCTCTTCACCTCTCGATCCTTCTTGCAAGTTATTCTCTGGTGTTGGGGACCCTCTACCTGATCCTTCCCTTTATCGACGACTGTTGGGTAAACTCAATTTTTTAACTCATACCCGTCCTGATCTTTCTTTCACTGTACAGCATCTTAGTCAATACATGCAAGATCCTCGTCTACCTCATCTTTCCGCTGCCAAACGTTGCCTTCTCTATCTCCTTCATGATCCTGGTTTAGGGATTTTTCTCAATTCCACTCCCTCTCTTGATCTCCTCGCTTTTTGTGATTCCGATTGGGGCACTTGCCCTGAATCCAGGCGCTCCTTCAGTGGATTCTTCATTAGTCTGGGTGGTAGCCCTGTTTCTTGGAAGTCCAAGAAACAGCCTTCCGTCTCTCTTTCCTCTGCAGAAGCGGAGTATCGCTCCATGCGTCGTGTTGTGGCTGAGCTCACCTGGCTTGTCCGCCTCTTAGATGATCTCTCCGTGTCTCCTTCTTTGCCTGTCCTTCTTCTTTCTGATAGTCAATCTGCGATTCACATCGCTAAAAACCCCGTTTTTCACGAACACACCAAACATGTTGAACTTGATTGCCATTTTGTCCGGCAACAGTTTCAGGCCGGGCTCATCTCTCTCTCTTTTCTTCCTACTCACTCTCAACTCGCCGATCTTTTCACTAAATCGCTTTCTGGTCCTCACCACCGGGCTCTTTTATTCTCTATAAACACGTGTACTATTTCTAGAAGAAACTAGGCAATCAACTTATCTATCTTTTATCAGGCTGGGGAATGTAGAAGCAATGTTGGGCTTCCTTCCTTTATTCTTGTTGGGCTGAGTTGAAGTGGACTTTTCTAAAGGCCCAATACCTTTTAATTCCTTTTCTTTCACAGACATAGGTATTAACGGAAGAGGGCTCATTTTCTTAATTTTATCGAACAGATCTTGTCTATCAACTGAAGAAGCTGGAGCCCTATGTTCTTCTGCCTTCATTTCATTCTGTATCTCATCAATCAATGCTGCCACTCTAATTATCTGCCGCAGTCCATCAGGTAGAAACACGTGAATATGAAGCCAAAATGGAAAATATGATATATTGAACAGGTTATTTAACTTCCAAAAAAGAAAAAAGAAAAACCAACTTCAACTCAAATATTATCCAAATGCCAGAGTTAGTTCTCCTGAGAGAGTCAACATATTGCTCATTGCAAGTCTCAAAATAAACCAATACTAAAATAATTAGTTGTACATAATGAGGAGGAGAGCAAGTAAGAATTGTAGTTAGCAAGTTTTGAAACCAATAGATCAGCACAAATGAAAGTATAAAGTAGATTTTCAAGGCAAGTCCCTCGGAACTCTGCTGAACCATATTGTGCAACCTACTTCACAGAAAAATGAGAAGAACATATGATAGTTTGCGGATGATTCTACGGAGTTGGATGAGATGAGTGAGCAGATGAATCACCAGAAAGGTGCACTCAGAAGGCAGAAGAGAGGTATAAAAGATTATTTCTCCTTCTGTAATGCACGCACACACACACCTTTATACAGACAGGCATGCACTACAAGAAAAATGCTTATTACCGACCAGAAAAATGGTCCTAAAAAGTCCATTTCTGGTCCCAAATGGTAAATAGCGACCAGGTAAATCTGGTCGCCACTCGTCGGTATAGACTCCGCCGCTAAAGATCATTTGCGACGAGATTGTTTAACTGATCCCTAAAGAGTTTCAGCAACTGCCAAAATGCTGGTCCCTAAAACACTTTTAAGGACCATGTTTCTAGTCCCTAAACAATATCATCGACCAGCTTCTAATTATCCTAGAAAATCTTTAAGGGCCAAAATCTGGTCTGTTAAAAATCAGCATGGCTGGTCACAATAATTATTATGGACAAAAATACTGTTAATATACATATATAATGTTTCTTGTCCTATATATTATACAATTTATAATATAGAAAAGGAATTGTATATAGACTATCAATAATATCTTCTTTCGTATATATTTTGTAATTCACAACAAAAAAATGGATTTACATTCCATTAGGTGCACAGAGTATGACAATATTATACAAATCCTTGTACTGTTTACACAATCTTTTAATAAAATAGCTGAATTCACTGCCAACCAATATAATTTTTTTTTAACATCCTAGAAAAATGATTATCAACTTGTCAGCTAGGCCTGTGAACCCCTCATCTTGACTTGTAAACTCGAGTCTTCAAACCCTGTAAAACATATAAAGCAAATTCACTTAATAAAAAACTATAAAGATCGATAGTAGTACTCTCTGCAATTAGTCACATACAACTTGACTCTCATTTACCGTTTAAATTGTTAAGATACCAAATAGTTATAAGTAGCTCCCACACATCTTTTGAGGATCATCAAACAACATATGTTCCTAATCCTGAAATTCTTCACTCCATAAATCACTATTTTTAGATATTGGAGTACCATCTCCTGCTTCAAACTTTCCCATATAACTTGAACATACATGTTCAGATAATATAGTAGTCCAACGGATTTTACTTCGATAGCAACACAGCAATAGCTCTAATTACTTAGAATCTAATAATCTACTCTTCTTACATTCTTTTCATGATAACTAAAGTTTCAATTAAGTTCAATCAAGCTAAACAATATTTTCATAACGCATATGGGATCTTTATGATATCAATGTACGAAACAACCAAAATATTTAAGCATGCTTCTTAAGTTTTCTCTAAATAGATCAGAACATGCATTTAGTTAACTGAAGGAGCACACATAATGGCATTTTGCATTAAACAGACCAATAAAGAAGTCATCAATATAATTTATATCAGCATATGAATAAAATATTACTAATCCGTCCAACTTATCATATTTCATTTGTTTTTTGGCCATCTCCCTTAACTAGGCCCTTGCATATATTCAAATTAAGTTTATCAACAAAATAATTCTATATAAACCATGAAGCACTCAATCCATTATCAACAATGCATAAAAAGTATTTTATCAACTTATTATTCTCTTCATGCTCTCAATAAAATGATCTAAAAGAAAAATATTCTAACAGATCTACCAATGCTGACAGTGAAACAGACATAACTGATTTATCAATATTATAGAAACAACAGAGGGAGTGGTTAAATCAAGACCTTCATGAGAAAATGAAATTGAGTGATAGTAGGGCTATTCTTTATATAAATTCAACAGAGCCAAAAGCCTTAAATCTATGAAAGCCTAAGTCTATTATGCAAATCCATTTAGATAAAACAGAGGCAACAAAGTTATTTATTTGAAAAATACAAACTCCTAGGCTAATATTAAACACCAAAACTTTTGCAACATTCAACAGATCAACGTCAACATTCTGCCAAGAACAAAAAATGAAAAACCCAAACTATGCCTAACAGAATGTAAGGAAAATATTCAATTAGGCAACGTTTAATAACAGAAACTACTCTATCTTCATTCTTGCTATTGATCAATCCGAATGTGTTATTCCACTTTCATTCCTACTATTGGTAACTGATAATGTTCTTAAAGATATCATCTTCTTACATACAATAACTGCTCAATTTACCATCTCATAACATTCAAGACATCATCTTCTTAAATACAATAACTATTGAAAAATCATCGAAGTACATATCCTAAAGATAATATTGAGATATAGACTATAGCTATATAACGGATTGGGTATTTCTACCTAAATCATTTTTGTTCTTATTATATTTTTGTACAATAGTAAAATGTATAATTTGCTCAAATAATGATTTAGCTCCACACACTCAAATCAGAAAAATAAATTAATACTTCGAGTAAATTCTTACGAACTTGTATGTGCCTCAAGTTAATGTCCATTCTCCCAAGTTGGGCGAAGTTGAAAGCTGAACATCACATTGCTGAACATTCTTGAAAGCTGAATATCACATGAATTTAGAAGAATAAAGATACCATACAGAAGAAAAAATCACAAAATCTCAAATTTCACAAAATAATATAACCCCAAATTATTTTAGCATGAACTCATTATGCTTTAATTTGATACCATTTTGAGTTGGTGCTCATATGCTTCACGAGAAAAAAAGAAGAAGCTAATATTCATTTACAAATTCTGTGTTGATTCAGAAGTAGGAAAACTTCCAACTTTAGCAGCGGAGGAAATAATTTGTACCAAACTTTCAATTTTAGCCTAGGAGATAATTCAAGATGATAAAATAATTGTATCACAACACTCGTCTATTAGAACAGATTTAAACAAATTAGATCTGCGGAAGTCAGACCGCAAAAAGATTTAGAAAAGAAAAAGCTAAAAAAAAAAAAGGGTAGTACCAAACCGATTCAAAAGACAATCAAACCAAAAAAACTGAGAAAATCTGAAATCAAGCAAAACCCAGTGTTGCACATAATATAAAGACTTCGAAAGTAAAAGATTGAAGAAGAAAATTCACTACAACACTCGAAGGGCGTGGATACAACCGAATGAGAAATGCATAGTGAGGTTTTGAGATTTGGGGATTTAGGGTTTTACAACTTTGATAGAGACGAAGGATATTTTGACAAAGCAGCGTCTTTTTAATTAGAGTGTTTTTTGTGCTTTAAGTTTTTATTTTATTTTGTTTTTTAGAGGTAAAATAGGAGTGGCGCCTTTTTTCCCCATAATCTATAACATTAGGGACCGTACATTCATAAGTTCAACAACCATATTAAATCTCTTCGTGGAACAAGAAGTTAAAAACTGAGACTTGTGGACCAGGAAGTAATCTCGTCCATATTAGTATACTTTTAAGGACCATATTTTTGACTCATCTCTAATTGTTGGTCATTAATAAGACTTTTTCTTGTAGTGATGGCTTCTTAGTAGTCCAACTCAATTTCATTCCTACTCCTTCCATCATCCTTGCAATGAACCAACCTTGTTGACATGAATCTTTGACGTTAAGGGTGACGAAGCATCTTTCAGTACATTCTTTCTTTTTGAAAGTTAAAGCATTTCGTCCAAATTTTGAACTATCTAAACTATAATAAGATCAAGACTAAGAACCACCAATATATTCGGACTCTGCCCCCATATAAAGTTCTCATCTTTCAAAAATTAACCCGCATTAACAAACTCACTCAAATAGCCATTGAATATCTTCCCACCACCTTCAAACCCCTTCAAGCAATAATCCTGCCACCACATACCGCATCACATTCAACAACAGCTTTCCACAATAACTCATAATTATCCCAAAATTTTAACAAGATCATCTTCACACCCCCACCCACCCGCACAAAAACTCATTTTTATCAAATTGATGGTCAGAACAGTAAATTAGTTCACCTCACAAAAATCAAAAAAGCACCAAATCGCAATCACTAGTACCGAGTATACTTTAAGACACTAGCCAAAAAATAAACATAATCTCACAAATAACCCCCAAAAATAGAAAAACCCAGCTTTAATTCTGAAATCCTCAATAGGCAATAAAGTGTAAAAATCAACAAACAATTAGATATAATACCAGAAATACAAATCGCAAAAAAACAAGACAAAATAATTACCAAGGGCATTGCGGAGGGCGTCCAGGTTTCCATTCTCGGCAGCATCAAAAAGGTTGAGCAGATGAGGAGGGACATCATTGGGCTCCTCCACCTCAATTTCCTGTCCGAAAAATAGCTCCTTCCTCTTTACCGATCGCACCGTTACGTCCCCTTTGTACGGCCATTTCTCTCTATCTTTGCTGTTGCGATGGAAAAGAAACTGAAGATAGGGTTTCTTGACAACAATGAAATGGAAAAGAAGATAAGGGTTTCTTCTCACTATATGGCACTATTGGGCTACACGAGTTACAACTGGTTATTGGGCTTTCATCAGCTAATTCCTTACTGGACTTACATCAATTTAGTATTTTCTTTTGTTATCCTCTGCACATAAAATAATAGTAGCTTCTAGTATCTTCTAGAATAGGGGTAATTATGCACATGAGTAAGGAGGTTAGTTAGTTAGCTATATATTCATTTTCAACTCTTGTAAAATGGTTACAGAATCATAATAAGAAGAATATTCATTTTGCTCTCTTTACAAAATTTCTCTCTCTAAAATCAACATGGTATCAGAGCATCTGCTCGAACCATTCGATTTTTTCTACTATTTTGTTACAAATCTCTTCTAGATCGTTTGATTTTATACTCTAGTTCATTGAAGTTTCTTCAGATCTTCTCCTTGAAACTGTTTTTTTTTACTCAAATTCAATTGGAATTCTTTAGATCTTCTCCTTGAAGCTGATTTAAATGGCAGCAACCAAAATCGATCCAGATCATCCATACTTTCTGCATGCTTCTGATTCTCCGTGAATGTGTTTGATTTCTCCTCCTTTCGATGGAACTAGTTATGGAGGATGGAGAAAATCAATTTTGATTGCTTTATCTGCTAAAAATAAGCTAGGTTTTATTGACAACAGTTTGGTCAGGCCTAAGGATGACTCACCAGATTTGCGATACTGGATAAGGTGTAATGACATGGTGTTTGCCTGGCTTTTGAATTCCCTTACTCCAGACATCAGGCCCAGCGTGATTCACTCTAAATCTGCAAGGATTCTGTGGAAACAGCTTGAAGATAGGTATGGGCAATCCAACCTAGCACAATCATTTGAATTGCAAAAACAACTATTAGAAACAGTGCAAGGATCTTCCAACATTGCTACTTACTTCAACAAGATAAAAGCTATATGGGATGAAATAGAATTACTTGATGCAAGGACTGTATGTCTTTGTGTTGATTGTAAGTGTGGAGCTAATGATAAGAATGATGCACTTGAAGAGAGATAGAAATTGGTTCAGTTTTTAATGGGACTAAATGAGTCATATACTAATGTTAGGGGAAATATCATGAAGATGCATCCTCCACCAAATATTGATAGGGCTTACTACTTACTCTTGCAAGAGGAAAGGCAAAGAGGGATACAAAACATGGGACATTATCCTAGTGACTCTGGGTCATTTGCTGTGTCAACACAAAGATTTAGTTCAACTCAAGCTAAACCTACAACCTCTACAGTGAATAACACTGGTGGTTATACTTTTAGAACTAATCAAGACAACAGGAGAAGTCTGAATTGCAACTATTGCAAAAAGCCAAGACATACAATCGACAAATGCTATAAACTTCATGGTTATCCATAGAATTTCAAGCTAGGTTATCCACAGAATTTCAAACAAAGAAGATTTTAGAATTCCATTCAAGGAAATGCAGTAACAACAGATGAAGGTTATGGTCAAGTTCTATCCCATGATGTGGAAGCAACCATTGGTATAAAGCAGGAACAGTTGACACAACTAATGGAATTACTTCAACAAGTTAAAATTGGTCAGGAAGCTACAACAATTCTGAAACCATTGCCAATGCTAATTGTGTTGGTACATGTTTGCCTAATATTTCCTATTCACAAAGCAATCTTAGGAGTCATATTTGGATTCTTGACTCTGGAGCTTCAGAACACATGACTTTTGACTCTAGCATCATTGTTAATATCAAACCTTTACCTAATCCTGTTAATGTTAATCTTCCTAATTCACAAAGATTAAGAGTAACTCTGGCAGGACAAGTAACAATACATCCAGACTTGACTCTACACAAAGTTCTTTATGTCCCAGATTTTAAATTCAACCTCATTTCAGTTAACAGACTGTGCACTCAACTCAAAGTTCTTCTTACCTTTGCTGAAACTTGTTGTTTGATGCAGGGCCTTTCTTTGAGGAGGCCCCTGGTCCTTGGTGATGTGAAGGCTGGTCTTTACCTTTTCCACTCAACTCACAAGCTTACTGATTCCCTGCATTCAAATAAAGCTGTCACATTTTCACAGAATTCTTCTCTACCATACTGCAATTCTCATATTATGTCTAACTCTGTTAATACTGATAAAAATTTGTGCATGTAAGGCTAGGACATTTACCCATTTCTACCATGAGATATATTTCTATCTTACCACAATCTGCTGTTTGTAAAGAAAATATTCCCTGTTCCATTTGTCCTATGGCTAGACAACACAGATTACCTTTTCCAGACAGCACAAGTTCTACTTCTCATATTTTTGAACTTATTCACATTGATACCTGGGGACCCTACAAGGAACCCACCTACAATGGTTTTAAGTACTTCCTTACTATTGTTGATGATTTTAGTAGGGGTACTTGGACATACCTACTCAGTACTAAAAGTAATGCCTTCACTATTCTCAAATCCTTCATATCTATGGTAGAAAGACAATTTGAAGTCAAAGTCAAGAAAGTTAGGTCTGATAATGCCTTTTGAGCTAGGAAGCAGTCTTGCTGCCATAGCTTATTTTTCTTCCAAAGGAATTATTCACCAAACCACTTGTGTTGGGACCCCTCAACAAAATGGTATTGTTGAGAGAAAACACAAACATTTGATGGAAACCTGTCGAGCTCTTCTTTTTCATTCCAAAGTACCTATTTGTTATTGGGGGAATGTTTACTTACTGCCACTTTTCTCATTAATAGATTTCCTACCAAACTTCTACACTACAAATCTCCTTATGAAATACTGTTTCACAAACCTCCTAATTACACTTTTCTTAGAAGTTTTGGATGCTTATGTTTTGCTTCTACTTTGCCTATTCTTAGAGGCAAACTTGATCCTAGGGCTATCACTTGTGTCTTCCTTGGTTATCCTAATGGTAAGAAAGGATACAAGCTATTAAATTTAGCAACCAATAAGGTTTTTGTCTCCAGAAATGTGATTTTTCATGAATCTGTTTTTCCTTTTACACATCCTACCACTACTTTCTCTCAGTTCTTTCCTCCTTCTTCTACTGTTGATTTTTCTACACCACAACCTATCACTTTTTTTGATTCCTCTATTCCTCTCCCAACTGATGAATCTCCTGCTCCTGTTTCCTCTCCAATTTCATTTCCTCCAGCTGATCATAGTCCTGTTCCTAGTTCCCCTTCTACATCATCCTTTAATCCTTCTACTTCCTCATCTGGTTCACCTATCTCCTCCTCTCCATCTCCTTCTTATCTTCCCATCACTCCTGTTCCTCTTCTGAGGTTCCTCCTGATGCCTTGCGCAGATCTTTAAGAGAATACAATGCTCCTAGTTATTTGTCTGACTACATCTGTGGGGCAGTGCACCTAACCAATGCATCTATTCCTGTTTCCTCTCACCTGTTTCCCCTTCTACTATTTCTTCCAATCTACTTTCTGTTTCTAACCAAAGTTTGCTCAATTCCCTACCTAATGTCCATGAGCCTTCTAGTTATTCTCAGGCAGCATTGGACCCTGGTTGGCAAGCAGCAATGGCTAAGGAACTTGATGCTTTAAAGGTTAATGATACTTGGGAGGTAGTTCATTACCTGTTGGGAGGAAGGCTTTACCTTGTAAGTGGGTCTACAAGGTTAAACTAAAATCTGATGGGAGTGTGGAAAGGCTCAAATCTCGTTTGGTTATTAGAGGGGATTGATTTTACAGAGACTTTCTCCCCTGTGGTCAAAATGACCACTATTGGGTGCATTCTTGCTATTGCTGTCAAGAAAAATTGGGGCCTTTATCAATTGGATGTGAATAACGCCTTTCTACATGGGGATCTACATGAAGAAGTCTATATGAATTTCCAGCAGGCCTAGACCCTCCTTCTCCTAACCTAGTTTGTCGACTCAAGAAATCTCTCTATGGTCTTCGCCAAGCCTCTAGGCAGTGGTATGCTCGCTTGACTGCTGCTCTTAATTTCAAGGGTTTTACTCACTCCCTTAACGACTACTCTCTTTTTTACAAGAAAACTGGTGATTCTGTTTCTCTGGTGGCAGTCTATATGGATGACATTTTACTCACAGGCAACAATGTTCAGGAGCTGAATGATTTGAAACAATTCTTAGATCATGAATTCAAAATTAAAGACTTGGGGAACTTATCTTATTTCTTGGGGATGGAAGTACTTCGTGAGTCCTCTGGTCTGATCATATGCCAACGCAAGTTCACTCTTGACCTTCTCACTGAATTTGACTGCCTTGGTTTGTCCCCTGCCTCTTCTCCTTTGGATCCTTCTTCTAAACTACGTACTGGTGTTGGGGCTCCTCTTGCTGATCCTCTGCTCTATCGTCGCCTTTTGGGCAAACTTAATTTCTTAACTCACACCCGTCCTGATATTTCTTTTGTCGTCCAGCATCTTAGTCAATTCATGCAAGACCCTCGCGAGTGTCTCATTTCTCTGCTGCTCATCATTGTTTCGTTATCTCCTTCTTGACCCTGGTTTAGGTCTCTTCATGAGTGCTGATCCTTCTCTTGATTTGTTTGCTTTTTTGCGACTCTGATTGGGGTTCCTGTCCTGATAGTCGTCGCTCTGTCAGTGGATTTTTCATTAGTCTAGAAGGCTGTCCTGTTTCTTGGAAGTCCAAGAAACAACCTTCCGTCTCTTTGTCTTCCGCTGAAGCCGAGTACCGGTCCATGCGGCGAGTCGTTGCTGAACTGACCTGGCTCGTTCGTTTACTTGACGATCTTTCTGTTCTTCCTTCGTTGCCGGTGCCTCTTCACTCTGACAGTCAAGCCGCCATCCATATCGCCAAAAACCCCGTTTTCCATGAGCGTACCAAACATGTGGAACTTGATTGCCATTTTGTTAGGCAGCAGTTCCAAGCGGGGCTCATCTCTCTCTCCTTTATTCCTTCTCACCATCAACTCGTTGACCTGTTTACCAAGCCCCTTTCTGGGCCTCTCCATCGTAGTTTACTGGGCAAGTTGGGCGTGCTTTCCGCCCCCTCCAACTTGAGGGGGGTGTTGCCGATGGAAAAGAAACTGAAGATAGGGTTTCTTGACAACAATGAAATGGAAAAGAAGATAAGGGTTTCTTCTCACTATATGGCACTATTGGGCTACACGAGTTACAACTGGTTATTGGGCTTTCATCAGCTAATTCCTTACTGGACTTACATCAATTTAGTATTTTTTTTTGTTATCCTCTGTACATAAAATAATAGTAGCTTCTAGTATCTTCTAGAATAGGGGTAATTATGCACATGAGTAAGGAGGTTAGTTAGTTAGCTATATATTCATTTTCAACTCTTGTAAAACGGTTACAAAATCATAATAAGAAGAATATTCATTTTGCTCTCTTTACAAAATTTCTCTCTCTAAAATCAACATTGCTCTGTTTTTCTCAACAAGTCAAAACCCTGCAGCTTAAACCCCAGGCTATGAGAACACACTACTGTCGCCGTGCCGGTCTTTTTGCGGGGAGGCTAAAGTTCGGTATATTCTTTGAGAAAATGGACAAAATTGGTTCATTATGTTTGGGTAGGTTTAAAGTAGTCCTTTAAATATATTCTTGAGTATTTTGGTCTATTAATCTATGTTTGTAAAACGTGAGCGTTTTTGGTACCTGTTAAATATTTTATAAACTCTGACTGTTAACTTTAATGAGATAGTGAGAGAAATAAAATTAACTAGAAACATTATATATTACCAGATTCTTTTATGTTTGGAAAATATGTCGGATCAATTCCATTAGCTACCGAAATTCAATGAAATCTTCGTAAAGTCAATTATTATTACGCATTATTTATTCGGTTGACATGTCCAATCGAATCATCGCCTCTCGAGTACCACTATTCAATGCAAGCACCATTCTTCGACATGACTCGACACTAATAATAACAAAAATTAGTGACGGAGAAATTTAATAGCTAAATAACAAAATTCATCTTTAATCCTACTTAGCAACGGATTAATAATAAATTATTAAAAAAATGTCAGCTACGAACGATTTAGCGATAGATTCTTAGCTAATTCAAGTTTTTTAATAGTGTGAGAAGCAA